TGCTCGAAATCCAAGCTCTATAGGCAAAAACTGACTAAAAATTCAATATCTCAGCAACAAAGCACCATGGGGATGAACCAACTTAGGGTATTTCACTACTCACTGAGGTCTACAAGATACAAGTAGTGCGAGTTCAAAAGCGATTTATAACCTCACGAGGTCCCCTCGTCAGTATCAAAATCATAGCACTCGAACGAAATAACAAAAGAATGTATACGTTTTTGGGAGGAAGTTTAGGATAGACGAAAGCGCAAACTAAATAAATTTGTGAATTCTTCACAAGTTGAAGTTTATTAAAAAAACAATATTATTGAAAAACGACTAATAATCCAGTTAATAAAAAACGCGTTTGAAAATAACCTACTGGTAAAAAACGCACAACATGCGATGAAGTAATAAGCCAACAATATTTGATTTGATTCAGTTCTGATGTGGTAACATCATCATCATCATAAGACACAAGTGAAAAGTTGGAGGGTAACTGCAGCAAAAACAAGAGAAAGTAGTTTAGTCGTTTCGTACGCCAAACGCATTAGTTGAAATCTAAAAATGTTTTAGAATGCGATCAAGAACTTCAATTTTTGCTGTTTGATCTCAGGGTTTTTATTCACGAGCAATCAGTAGAGAGCATCGCAAAATGTGGTGACTTGACCTATGCTTATTTTATAAAAAAGCATTCTTCAGAAAAAAAAATTTCGTTGACTCTTTTGTCATCTCTTAGCTTCTATGACTAAGAAAGAGTTGCACATGTTTAATTTGGAGCTATGGATGAGCAAGTGCATAGACATCGGTTGAATTTAACTCTCGACTGTATATTTTTAATTCATCGATATAGCCATGAAACGGCCCCGGTGAGACTTGCCCCTGAGCGCAACCGAGTCCGTTCGAGCTGTAACTCGCCACTGTTATATAATTTGGCTGACCGCTTGCAGCATACGAAGTTCCGCCACCCGAAGTCGAATATAGTGTACCATTAATGTAGAGTCGTACACCATTAGCCGTACTAAATGTTTCTGCAATGTGTGTCCAAACGCCTAGAGTTAAAATAGGTCCAAGGGCATAGACGACAGGCCACACTTGACAAATTATTTCTCCAGTGGATTTAAATCCCATGAATGGAACGCACCAGACGAGTACCGAATTCTGCAAACCGTCTGGTCCACTTGAAACATGAATGAGAGTTCCACTTACAGCGGCGGGGTTTACCCAGTAGGCGAAGGAAAAAGCGCTATTTACTGTACCTAAAACGATCCAAAAACTGCTGGATCATTAAACGGAGCCAGAATACGATTTGATCTGATGAAAGTCGGTATCGGCAGCGATGCGTATCAACTAGTTTCGTACGAAATAGTTGTTGATGTAAGAAATTAATACTCATCTAGTGCTACAAGACCGCCTACTTGAAATAAAGAACTAGACGAAGAAAATGATAATGCTTCATTAACACGTCCGGTCACGTTAGTGACAGTTGAAGCACTACCGTTTAATCCATTTGGACCGTAGTCAAGTAAAGAGCCAGCATCGAAAGAAAAATAGGCGCACAAAGTCGCATCATTAAGTATATCAACTGCAGTTTTTGCTCCACTAGTAATTGATAGTTGATCAAGATAACCAGCAAAGTAGTTTGAGCCAGTATTAATGGCATCCGTACCGATGGTGATATTTCCCGATGTTCCAATATAGGGTGTTGTTGTGAATAACCCATCTTGAATTCCATTGAGATAGATTCGTTGTTGTCCAGCTGTGTAATCGTACACAAAGGCAATATGATACCAGGTATTGCCACTTAAAGTTGTTGAGCCTGTCAAATCATTTGAAAAGAATCCCATGAGTATTTTTTGATTCCGAAAAATAAAATATAAACATTGACTGTTACATGTACCAGATGTGGTGCACACACATTCGCCAATAATTGCGTTGTCGTTGTTTGATACACTCGTCCAATATATCCAAACCTCAATGGTAAAGCTCACGCGCGCAAATGCTATGTGTGGTGCATTCAAGTACTGATTAGCACCATTTAATCTAATTGCTTGACGAACATAACCAGTGACATAGGTTGGACTATTGACACTTACAGCATTGTATAAACCAAATAAGTCTGTAGAACTACCATCAAACGACCAATAAGCTGTCAAACTTGTAGCTGTTGTGGTTGAGGTAGTGGCGCTATTCACTATGAATAAAATAAAACTTCAGATTATGTTCAAACTCGCATTTGCGACATTAACATACCATTTGTAGCACCTTTCTTCAAAACTAAAAGACCCACGAGAATCATTACTGCAGCACATGTTACTAGTACAGGAACTCCAACAGCGAGCAATTTTGTCGTAACAGTGGTATTTGTACTAGAGCTTAAAGCAAGATAAAGAACATGGAGAAAGAATGTGTCTCATTTTTTATTACCTAATTGCTGGTATTTGGGTCAAATTAAGATTGATAACAGATGGTGAGGCTGTACCCTTTGAAAGATATAGGATGTCAGTACTAGTTTCCATGTGCTGTTAACACGAAACATCGCTAAATACGTACGTCTGGTGCAGGTTGAGATCTTGGTAAATAAACCGTTACTATTTCACTGCTTGTTGGCATTCTGCCACAGCTCAGTAAAAAATTCAATTATCCATGAGTCTCCTAAAAGTGCGTTTGTTTTCAAAAACATTACAAAATACTGTTTAACTTATTTTCAATCACAATACATTCATCGCTATTAGACACAAATTAATCCCATCGTGTTTCTTTATGTCGTTTAAATGAAATGAGATTACGTTAATTTTTTTCTCAACGAACAACAACTATCGAAAACATTACATACCACTCCCGTTATTAGGTGAAAAGTAATAGATATAAGAATGAAAATTCTCGAAAGAAATACACTATATTTTAGCCTTTTTTCACTGATTTCTATTGGTTATAGGCTAAAAATTCAATTATTTATATTTGAATCAGTTGAAATTACTTCTAACTGTCTTAAGTTTTGTTTTTTATTCCTCATATACCTATTCCATGCGTTAACAGAGATGAAAATCTTATTTGTCAGACATTTTCACTTTTTGTTAGAAAACGACAACGATGTATTTCGTTGGCGTCCCATTCCAACGTCATCGATTGAGATACTTTGACAGTGTTCAATACCTTAAGGTGTATCACGGTAATCAAATAACGTCACAATACGCTTTTTGGCGTATAACGGAGTATTTTGAAATAAGCATGCCGACGAATGATGACAATTTTTGTGCAGGTGTTTTCTAAGAGCATTTTACTTTATTATAGTTTAAAACTTATAAAAAAACGTGGGGTTATTTGAACAGTCAAAATGTGACAGGAACAGTTGAAAAGTTTAGATCATATGTCAGGTGCCTGCCAATAATGCAAACTTCGAGCAAAATATTTTTTTTGAACTTATTGTACATCATTGGATAAAGCATTTTGAGCTGATTAAGAAAATATATTTTTTAATTGTTAAAATGTTTTTTTTGATAGCCAGACATTGAAAGTACTTGAAGGACCTAAAAAGTCGAAAAACCCTTCAAGTGCAAAAATGCCTCAATATCTGAATCTAAGGTAACTATACAAATTTAAAATTTTTTTTTTCTTATTCAACATTGAAAACTGCATAGCAAAATGTCTCAAACACACCCTCTACCGTGCGAGCAAGAAATTTTGCAATCCTATCTAGCCTTTTGTGTTGAGGGTTGAAGCCGTCATGTGCACGCTATTAGATTCACTGAAAGCCCAGCTTTAAAAGTATGGCTCACGTTTTTTTAAAATTTAACTTACATTGTGTATTTCTTTTTCATTACCGAACGAAACAAAAGAAGAAAGCGTATGATTCACAAAAACACAAGAAAATTCGAGTTCTTATTATCATTTTCTTTTCTCATGTTTCAAATCTGTTAGCCATCTACAACACAAACAGATATGACTATGGACAAAAAGAACAGAATAAAATCAGAAAAGAGCCTGAGAAAATGGCAGAGTAGAGCCCGGATAATGGTACTTGTTTTGTGCTATGAAATATCTAGGTACGGGTGTCACTTTTATTGGGCTATCTAGACATATTTGGCAGGGTATTGCCCAATACCATAATAAAATATCGAGATATTTTCATATACGATTTTTTGCTTGGGCAAGATCTTGAAATAATCGAGCATAAACTTTAGAAATCTTTCAACGTTTAATCAAGAGCTTGGTCCAAGGTTTTTTACCTGGGTATATTAGTCTAATTTCTCGCCTTTCGTTTAATTTCTACGACCGAGGAGAAAGGGTTTATTCTTGTTGTCTGAAGTGACGAAATCTATTATCTCTTTGTTTCGCACTCTCCACTTGGTATAAAGAACAGTAGATTTAACGAAATTACATTAGGAGTTTTATTATTTTACTTGTATTGACACGGTTAAAAACTATGGCGGATTTTGAGATGTATTTGAATGTTATCAAGATATATTTTAAAAAATTAATTGAATATGAGCATTATTAATCATCAGCTGTATCATTTGAAAAATTAATTGAAACTGTAGAAATGCTGTTGCTACCAATATAAACAAAATCAGAAAAAGGAACAGTACGATATGAAAGTGGAACATACTCTCGTTCAAATCGTCATTCAGTCAAGGAAAATGAGATGTTAGGTGATATTCATAAGAAGCTAGGTAATTTTCCAGCAACAATTTTATCTTATTTCAAATCTATTGAAACGTATAGTGAATTCCATTGGAAAGCTATATTAAATGATTGATCGGTTATTTTCAATAGTTTCTCAAAAGAATATTTACAAAATAATCACTAGATATCGGCAATTAGTTATTAAAATTAATTAACATAAATAATTGACTTTTTTTGACAAGCACAACCATCCTTTATAAACATATTCATCAATATTATGAAACAATTGCAAATATATTAAAAAACAAAACACACGATAACGAGGAGATTAAATAGTACAGTAAGACCTTTCTTTACTACGCAACAATTGGAGATATAAAGTGTATAGTACATGCTGTTACAATAAACAGTGATTAATACCTTGATAGTAGGAAGAAAACAAAAAATAAAAAATCATATAAACAAAGAGAGTCGAGAATATTCATGTAGATGTATACTTTCTTAGACTAGACAATAATGATTCAACGAACATAATTTGACAATAATAACCGATAAAAATAAAGAATACAGAGAACAAAATCTAGATAGATCTGTCTTTGTTTCACTGAAAGTCAAATCTGTTGGTCTTCACAGTGCTCACATAGACTTTAGTACAGGGCAGATCGGTAAACCTGTCAGTTTGAAACTTTTGACATAGATAAACAATTTTATTTAGTAAACGCAGTTGTTTAACAAGGAGTTGAGCGAAACAAAGATAATGAAGTAAAACAGAACTGAGGTGCAAAACGTAACAAATGAATTGCGATCGCTAGAATAATAATGAATTAATAGAATTTCTTCTGTCTTTATAATATAACGTTTTAAATTAAGTTGTAGTTGTAGTAGTAATAGTGCTTGGTTTGTAGATAATTAAAAAACCTTTTCTATACGTCGTAAGGAATTAAATCGAATATTATAAAATAGTTTAAATCGTTTAGAACGAAGAACGAAAGCGCGTTTAGCTAGATCATCTGTTAGCTGAAGAAACCGCTCTTTGTCATCAGAACTTCAACGTTTAAGTAAATCTCCTGTTTTTAGTATGATGCTATTTTGTTCGTTGTTGGTGATACTTTAATACCAACTACATTAATTTCTAATTCATACTCTTCCTGAATAACAAATATACGTACTTCGGGATCAACTTCTTTGTTTATGACTTGCATAAGTAAAGGTAAAAAAAGTCGGGAGTTTGAGTTAAGAAGGAGCTTGCAAAAGATGTATCAAAAAGAACTTTTGTAAAGCCTATATTAAAAGAAAATCAGTATCTGCGAAGCGCTGCGATCGTCGTTTTTCAAGTGGATTCACTGCATTACTAGAAAACGACCACAAAACCAAATGTAAGAAGACGAAGGAGTAAACTTAAGGAGAGGGAGATCCCCACCAAAACATACCCTCAAAATCTGCCAGTTCATATAATAACTCATGGGTTGGATAAGTTTTGGCGGAGAGGTAAAATTTTTAAAAATTGAAACAATCGATTTTCCCAGCTACTTTGTACCTGGTGCACAGTATTTCTTGCGCAGTTTGCCGCGTCAACGAAGCATTTTGGAAAAAAGAAAATTCACCCGTTACTTTTCCAGAAGTAACACACGTAACGGATTTCCATTACCCGTTACTAGTAACAGGCGACGGGTTGCTGTTATCCGTTAGAATAACGATCATTTGAAAAAAATGGCTTGCGTAGGCGCTAGGAGTATTATACTTATACTATTGCATAAGACATTAAATTTATTGTATTTTGATTTACCTTTACTTTTACTTTCACAAATTATTCACGTGCATTGGTTCGAATTTCCAACAGAAATGCGAGAAAAAGATCTCTACAAGTACAAATTCCAGAATTTCCTTAGTGATATATTTTTAGCATATTACAATTAAAATCAACTAAAATAAGAACATTAATGTTTAATAATTCTTTTATTTCTTCCTGTTTATTTCGTAGTTTATTTATAAAATAATCACGATAGTTTACTTAATAATCTGATTAAAAAAGTACACTCTTTTATGCATACCATTGTAGACGTTTTCAATAAGATAAAATTCCTCAATGATCAGTTAGTCTAATTCACCATTATACTTGCAAGAGATGGCACCACAAAGCGTTCATTCTCGTTACGTTTAGAATTAAGTTTTTTTCACCTATGCAAACCAGCTTTAAAAACTATCCTTTAATATGAATTTGTACTACAGGACAAACGCTATCTTTTTCACCCTTCACAGATTTTAAAACTACTCCGCCGTAATAGAATTCTTGGTATAAACGTAAGACCCAATAACCCGATTTTCTCTGTGCGCGAAAATATTAGACTCAAGCTTTATATCACAATGTAAACCACACTCAGATGTATTCAGACAGCAGATTCTGGTTTCTCGCCTATTCTTTTTCCTACAATATTTCTCAAACCCATTCAAAATTGTCTCTTTGTCTGAAAATGAATTAATTCTACTTTGAACTTCTTGATGGGGTACAAACAGATTTTCAGATAGCCTGTACTATAGGTTGTGAAAATCTCTATCAGATGAGGGTTTTTACTTCATTTGAGTATTTTGAGTTCTTCGACCGGAAAAAGTGTCATAGAACATGGAGGAGCATCGCTCGAAATCCTCTATCCAACGGATATAATATGTTCGAAAATAAATTCTACTCTAACTTTGAATTATGTGCATCTTAGGAATAAGTGGACCATGTTTAGCAATTGTTTTTCATCTTATTGAAAACGTCTGCAATGGTATCCATAAAAGATTGTACTTTTTTTTAATCAGATTATTAAGTAAACTATCGTGATTATTTTATAATAATATCATATCTTATAAATAATGTATTTCTTTCTTTTTTACAGATCATGTTTTATGTTTAAACCTTCTTGGTACAATTCTTCAACAACATTACGAAAATATAATGCTGCAGCATTATATATATATATATATAAATTTTAAAATAGTTGCTG